ATCACATCTTCTAAAGAATGCGTATTTTCACTTTTGCATAATCTATGGTTTCTGTGTAGTTCACAAAGAACTCCATGCTACACAACATACTCATCCTTGTCTGCAAACACAGATGTCTACATCAATTTCATTCACAGAAACCAGAATTAAGACAACAGAGAACCATTCAGTGCTGATTTTATTTCAGGAGACTTTTTAATTATTATTGGTTTTATTCCTTGTGGAGGTTGTCCCTCTGTACATGACCAGTCTGCCTCTATGACTTGGAAAAAGGAAAGACTGAAAGTAACATTGTGGCACTTACTAAGAATGTTCCACCCAGCTGGGTATATACCCAGGCACACACAGCCTAGGGGATGAGGAAGAGCCATGAGTACCTTACCCTCCTTACAGCCAGCACTGCAAATTATATGCTATTCTAACTGTCATGCACACAAAAAACATTTCAAATTCTTCTTCATAACTAGAAACTTCTGCAAAAAATAATGTTCTCCAGCCAGTGACTCCAGGAGTCAGAAGCTTAAATGCTGCTGTAAGGGATATTCAGACACTCAGTTTACCCTGCATGCAAAGTGACTTGGCTTCATTTCTCTGAGAGGTGCATGTTTTGGCAGGTGGCTAGAGCAGAAATCTCTAGGCTCTGAGCGAGGCTATTTCTGTCCTAGCATAATAATGAGAATTTAAGAACCATTTTTTCTCTTGCTTGCTCAGATATCCTGTGCTACAAGAACTTACATTCAGGTGGTTTTGCACTGGGTTTTGCACTCATACTGCTGGAAAAAGTGTAAAGAACCAAGCTGAGCTGTGCTGGTTTGGAAAGAAGAAAGAAAAAGGCACTGATGTGCCAGTGCAGATATGGACTGGTGATTTATTAATCTGCCTTCAATTAGATACTGATTGTGCAGTTGTGTTCACAGGGACGTGCTCACATGTGGTCTCAATCCTCTCTCTGGTCACATACCATGTTTCCTTGGCTTATGTGTTGTCTGGCAAAAACTGACCACTGATCCTGCCTGATAACTAATATCAGGCTTCTATTTATTTCTTCAAAGCCACTGACTTAAGCAAAAGTTCCTTGGTTAGAACTAAGCCCCTGGCATTCCCCAAAAGGTCCAAAGGAGCTAAACTGAGAAGAATGGAATGTAATTTTCATCCTTTTTGAAGTCTGCCTTGCTTAGGTGTTCAGAGTTTAAATTAAACTACTTAATTCTACAGGAGTATCATAGAATCAACTGGGTTGGAAAAGACCTCCAAGATCATCAAGTCCAACCTTACCGTGGTCACTAGACCATGGCACTAAGTGCCACATCCAGTCGCAGCTTGAAAACCTCCAGGGATGGTGAATCCACCACCTCCCCTGGGCAGCACATTCCAGTGCCTGAGCACTCTCTCCCTAAAATCCAACCTAACCCTCCCCTGGCAGAGCTTGAGTCTGTGCCCTCTTGTCCTGCTGCTGGTTGCCTGGGAGAAGAGACCAACCCCCACCTGACTACAAACTCCTTACATTTAGTTTAGTTCTGATTAAATCTTTTATACATTTAAACAAATATTTGATAGGCATTTTAAAAATCAACTTCTAGCAGATAAATCCCATCAATTAAATTCCAACATAGTTCCCATGTATGCATGTATGTACTATGGAAAAATTACTTGCAGCTCCTCCACTCAGTTTTTTTCAAGGGCTGCTTTATGCAGGTCAAATGCCACAAGTTCCTCTCAAGAAACTAGATTTCATTTTCTTATTATGGAATGTCAACTCTTACATAATTACTATTTTATAATGCCTGTAATATTTGGCAGTTATACCAGTGCAGTATACACAAGGGTCAAAGGATTCTTTCATGAGCAAAAAAAAAAAAAAAAAAAAAGAAATACTCTGTGGCAAGAGGGATTAAAGCACAGTGGGCTTCAAATCAGTGATTCCTGCATAATTTAAACTGATGAAAAGTTCCAAGCTGCTGCAACTATAAACTAAAACTTCCATAAATTAGAGATGAACAAGATGTGATAATGACAGATAACTAACACCACTGACTCTGAGCACTCAAAGCTCTGACAGAAGGATGAAATGAAGATACTTTCTCCTTTCACTTCTGTGAAATTTCATTCCCACTGAGGGGGGTTGGGATGTACGTCTAACTTTAGTCAAGTTCCATGCTTTTCCAAATGGAAGAATATGAAACACACTGTTGATTCAAGCAATCCAAACACTATTAATAGAAGTTTCCACCCAGAATTTGTATCTTTTATACACCTTAAGACTTTTGATCCGAAGCTAAGGAAGGTCATCCTATACCCCCTAGCAAATATAAACTGAAGTTTCTTGAAGTGCGTATAAATACTTCATCTGCTCTTGTACTGAGACTTCCAGTTTGTCAATTCCTTAAGTGGAGAAGAGCATCTTTTTGAAACAGAACAGAACAAGTACTCTGGAAAACAGCCCTTCCTTAAGGTTATCCTGTGGGAAGGCATTCCCAACACTGACTCCATCTGCAAGTCACTATAAAGGGATCCCATTTTTGATAGCTAAAGCATTCACAAGTCTAGTTCTGAAAAGATCCAGAAACTACTTCTAATCCTGCCAAAAGACAAACTGCCAAAACACTAATCTGACATTCTTTAGATAGCAGTGGTCACAGCCACTATAGCAAGTCATTTGGCACAGCAAGACCAGAACAACATCAAAGTATCCTGTGCTGAGCCTTCCCATTTATGCTGTATGCAGCTCAGGAATTTTGTGTCAGACTGTATCTAGCATGGTTTCCTGGACCAAACCTGCTTTGAAGCTGTTAAGAAAGCCAAACCCAGTGACTGATTCTTATGTACTCCTTGGGCCCAGAAGTGGATTTGGTGCACACCTGGAACAGAGGTTCTGCTTTAGTTTCCTCCAAAAGAGACATATCTCCTGCAGAGTAAAATCATTCTGCAATAAGTGGGGACACTGTCTTCAAATCATGCCATAGATTTGAACCAAAACCCTAACAGAGAGGTACAGTTACCTGCTACTGTCTTGATTCTCCAGGCCTTTTATGTGCTCATCAGCCTCTCTGCTTGGACTTCTCAGAATCACAGAACCATCAAGGTTGGAGGAGACCTCTAAGATCATCCGGTCCAACCATTAACCTGTCACTGCTTGAACCCCTAAACCAGATCCTCCAGTGTCAGATCCAGATGCCTCTTCAACACTCCCAGGGATGGTGACTCCACCACCTCCCTGGGCAATATTCCAGTGCCTGGACACCTTAACAGGAAAAACATTTCTCCCAACATCCAATCTGAATCTCCCCTGTCTCAGTTTATGACAGTTCCCTGCATTTCTGGACTAAATTTGTAGCTTTGTCCTTCCTTAAATTTACCAGTTTTTTTCCAATTTTTGCCTTTTCCTCCCAAATTCTTTCCAGTAACTTTTTTTCTCTAGAGGACACATTCGCAAAAAAAACCCCAAAAACCTACCAGCTGAAAAGAAACACTCAAGTTCAGTAACTAACTGGTTTTCATGCAGTATTTCTACTTCCCTAAGACAACACTTTTTTTTCTTTTTTTTTTTTATTTTTAACAATCATTGCACTCATCAAGTTCAACATCCACTGGAAAATGAACTTTTTTCTTACAAGTCAAGACGTTGCTGTTTATCTGGACATTTGACTTAAAATGCCCAAGCTCCTGCAGCAGTTGTGTTCATGATGACGACTGTGAACTACCTGTTACCTCATCACATCATTAGATGATGGTGCAGGTGAAGAGATGCTCCTGAAGCACTAGTTTATCTCTTAGGTGCCCACTTTTCTCAAGAACAGTCTCTCCAGTACTGTAAAATGGTATGAAGCTACTACTTCACCCACTGCCAAGTGCATATACACATAGAAACCTCATTGCTTTCTGACCCCAGGTCAAGGAGGGTCCTGGCAGTTCTCCAGGTGAGTTTCTGGTCAGCCTGTGATCCCTTGTCCCATAATCAAATCCTCCATGAGAGAGTGTGAGGTGTCCAGGGCACACCACACTTGAAAGGAAAGCCCAGCATGGCACACAGTAGACAGCAGATGAAGATCAGGAAGCTTATCCTTAGCCACAGGCAGCAGAAGTTGTAACCAAGTGCTAATGGGCTGAAGTGAGCTGCTAATGGCAATCTCCACATTTCACTCTAGTGTGGCACTACTTAAAAGTAAGTTTCCTGAAAGAAATCTAAGGGGTTTTTTACTTCTAGAAATTCTCTAGGTAATAACCTCTTCTGCTGCAAGCTATGACTTTAGTTACTTGTACTTAAAAGCTGAGAGGACCGTCTTTGAGGTTCTCCACAAGTCTCAGGTATCCTCTGTCTGCTGGAGGGGACACACTCATGAATGCTTTTGCCAGTGGCAAGCCCTACCAGACTTTGTGACTGATAAGACTCTCATCAAGCATATTAAGAAGCAAAGCTTCAGTCCAGGGTCCTGGGACTGGCGAGTCCTCAAAACACAAGGCGTTGCTATCATCCCAGCATGATTCAACTTGCTGTCCAAAAAACAGATCCAGCAGCCTTTGATCTTCTAAGATGACAGGGAACAGCCTTTGAGGCAGCCAAATGTGTCTTTCTGCATTACCAGATTGCTACAGAGACAGGCAGCTGGGTGGAGCAGCTCCTACCAGAGAGGCAGCTCAGCTCTGTGTTAAATTAGAGCAGCACTGAGGAGTACATATGGCAAGTGGGGAAAAGATCCCAAACTCAGCTGTGCAGCTGCTAGGTGGGACCACCCTGCTCATACACCATGGAAAAGACACTTGTTTTGCTACACACTGAGGTCACAATCAGCCAGTCACAAAAATGGCAGAGCTGGGCACTAAATAACCTGTTTCAAAGGGACTTAGCACTAGTACCTATCTACATTCCACATTTGGAAGTATTTTAACACTTCTGTGTGAATCTTCTGCCTTTAGGACAAGTACAGGTCAAGTGCAGCAAGAAATGAGATGCACAAAGGATGAATGTTGTATTAGCTCAACTGAGAGTAAAAATCTCTTACCTCACCAAATGCACCTCGTCCAATCACTTTTATAATTTCAAAGTCATCTCGATGGAGTTGCATTTCCTTCACCAATTTTGTAAATGGTTTTGCTGTTTAAGAAAAAAAATTCAATTATAAAGAGAAACATTGCAAGCCAAAATAACCCACAAACCAGAGGTCAAATGTACTCACTGCAGAGCCAGAGCATTAGTAGGTTTTCAACTATTAGAACTATAGGAGGAAAAGTTAATTACAGTATTTAATTAACACTTATATTTTTTCTTCTTAAGAGTTCAGTTGTATGAGAGGTTCTGCCTGGCTGCTAATGAGTAAAGAGCAAAGTGGTCTTTCAGAAGGATTTCCCTCCCCCCACCCCTGCAGGGTTTTGTGAATCAGTGGGGACCATGTGAAAGGGAGAGAGCTCATTCATTACTGGCTGACCCTAGAGACAATCTGTACTACCCTTCAGCCACTAGATTAATTCTCTTCTTCAGCAGAGTGCAGCTTTACTTTGTGTCATTTCAGCCAGTACCAGCTAAAGCTTTACCAACCCACTCTCCCGCGATAGCTGTCTCTGCTCAGCAGCAATGAAACCATTTCCCACAAGATCTGTGGCTAATTTAAGATTCTTACTTTGAACTATCTTTTCTGTTAAGCAACATTCACCAGATCTCAATCAGACCAAGTACTGAAGGGCTGCAGCCTAAAGGATGTCCAGTGATGAACTAACATACACTGACTTTGTCCTGATGGTCTCCCTGGATTCACGACATTCCTCAAACTGATGCCCAGGAAGTTCCACCTGAACACGAGGAAGAAATTCTTTCCTGAGCAGTCACTGAGCACTGAATACATTGCCCAGAGAGGTCGTGGATTCTCCCTCACTGAAGGTGTCCAAGAACCATCTGGACACAATCCTGAGCCATGTGCTCTGGGCTGGCCCTGCCTGAGCAGGGAGGTTGGACCAGACCAGGTGACGTGGTCCCTTCCAACCTGACTGACTCTGTGGTTCGTTACAATTCCCTACTCTGATCATGAAGACCAAATCAAAAAGGAAAAACAGTGGGGCAACTACAAGCTAAGCTGCACAAGGGCAAGTATGCACAGGCAAAACAGCAGTTTACTCTTTGAAACTGATGGCTGCTCTTCACCTCATCACAAACATTATTAGACTAAAAAGACCAAAGTTTTTCAACACGTTTTCCCCATCTGGTTACAATTCCCTACTCTGATCATGAAGACCAAATCAAAAAGGAAAAACAGTGGGGCAACTACAAGCTAAGCTGCACAAGGGCAAGTATGCACAGGCAAAACAGCAGTTTACTCTTTGAAACTGATGGCTGCTCTTCACCTCATCACAAACATTATTAGACTAAAAAGACCAAAGTTTTTCAACACGTTTTCCCCATCTGCAACTGAATAAAACATCACAGAACTACTACTTGTAATTCAGCCCAGACTCCTTTTTTACCTCACCTTACATTATGATTAAGCTAATGAGGTACAAACCAAACAGAATTCCTACAAGAGGGGTCACTGCCTTGACAGTGTAGTTCAGATGCTAACACAAACAAACCTAACCTAACAACCACACAGAGATACAGAACTGGAGACTACAGATTTCAGTATGAAGTTCAACCAAGAAAGCCTGAAAACCTCTCAGCAAAAAATCATAACAGCTAAGCAAATGAACAGCTGCACTGAAGAACAGCCATGCTGCTTCTCTGTACTTAGGAGAGATGGCACTGAGAAGGTTTCGTCCAGAAGCAATACACCTTTCACTGCATGTTTCTTGTCTATCCAGAGTATGAAATTTAAGAAACAGACTCTACTAGACTTTCTGCTACACTCCTTGTTTCAGCTGGAGTCTTCCTCACCACAAGGCCATTAAGACTATCACCCAAAACCCCCAAATTCCTTCTAACAAACTTACCTAGAATCATCAAGGTTGAAAGAGACCTCTAAGATCATCAAGTCCAACCAGTCACCTGTCACTGCTGGAACCACTAAACCCTAAACCAGATCCTCCAGTGCCACATCCAGATGCCTCTTCAACACTTCCAGGGATGGTGACTCCAACACCTCCCTGGGCAATATCTCAGTGCCTCAACACCCTCACAGGGAAAACATTTCTCCTCATATCCAATCTGACTCTGCCCTGGCTCAGTTTATGACCACAGACACCAACTCAAACCAGCTAGAGACCTACACTAGTGCAATCAGACACCTGTACCAGTAAACACCACTGCTGATGGCTGATATGTATCAATTATTGTGCAAGGTTGTTTTACCTCCTTCCCATCAAATCAAGACATTGAGGAAACACAACTCCAGACAGGAACTAACCTTGACAGTTTCATTATTAAGTGCTATAGAATGGGGGTCATTAGACTAGTTTTGTAGAACATCAGCTTCTGCAATTAAAATTCAAAGGAAGGGGAAATGAAATCCAGCAATTTTATTTCTGGGGGATACTAATCCAGTATTAGTTTTTGTTCTAAAAAAATAACTAATTTTAGCAATAATTTTATTCAATAAACAGAATACCAAAATCACAGAACCACAGAATGGTTTGAGTTGGGAGAGACCTTAAAGACCATCCAGTTCCAACCCTCCTGCCATGGGCAGAGACAACTTCCCCTAGACCAGGTTGCTCAGAGCTCCATCCAGCCTGGCCTTGAACACTTCCAAGGATGGAGCATCCACAGCTTCTCTGGACAAAAAAATAATTGGTTTAAGTATAAAAAACCTGCTGCAGTAAATTGATCACACGCAACTACCAAAACAGGAAGACACAACCCATCAAAGCTTCAACTGCCTTGTACCCTTCAAAAAAAAACACCTTGTATCTTACATTTTTGTCAACTGGTGACAAAATACTTTATTATTTTGTCTACGAATTCCCTTGCTTTGAAGTGTATCAGACTTCAGAGCACTAAAACTGGGATTTAGCGTAGAAATGCTTTCAGTTGTGTAAGAGGAAGTGAATTCAATTAGTTTTCTATTTTAAAAGATAATAAATACTATGTGTCAAGCAGGGCATGAACTTAAATTTCAGTAAACAGAAGAAATTTTGTCTGCAGAGAAAGGCATTAATGCTATCTTTCTAGGAACTGTATACTTGAAGAAGGAAGGATTCCCTTGAGCACCATTCCAATTACTAAACTATAAGAGTCTGAGGTTGGCCCTGCTTTTTCCATCTCAATTGGTCAACTGAAGTGCTCCGTGTTCAAATTAACTAGTTTAATATATGTAAATGAAAACAAGTATTCCCTCCTAAAAGGAAGTTACTATTTTTACAAGCCACTTGAGCACTTAACTAATGTTTGCTTTGAGTATTTAGCAGGTGTCAAGAGTTCAGAAACTGCAGCTTCAGAGGTCTCTCTTGGACAGTACCAAACATGAACCTTTGAATGTAAGGAGAGGTGTGGGATGTGTGTCCTGCCAGGGCTGCAGGGAGAGGGTAGAGGGAATGGCCTTGAGCTGAGCCAGGGCAGAGTCAGATTGGATGTGAGGACAAATGTTTTCCCTGTGAGGGTGTTGAGGCACTGGGATATTGCCCAGGGAGGTGGTGGAGTCACCATCCCTGGAAGTGTTGAAAAGGCATCTGGATCTGGCACTGGAGGATCTAGTTTAGAGTTTGGGGGTTCCAGCAGTGACAGGTGACTGGTTGGACTGGATGATCTTAGAGGTCTCCTCCAACCTTGATGGTTCTGTGATTCTACAGAGAAGTTTTAAATAGGGCAGGACTTGCCCTGAAATGGGAAAATCTGAGTTGTTGTCAAGGCATTTAAGATTCCTTAAAAGTAGATAAAATCTGAAAATAAAACCTAACAGCCACAGACTCTCATGATCACAGAGGTTACACAGCAGTTCAGAGCTCAGAGGAGGCAACAGAGCAGTAACTCATTTAAACTGATGTTTACTGTATTGGCAATTTGAAGCAGAATCCTGTTTACATCAGGATGGGACCTGCTACATGCAAGTACTGGACTGCACAATTTCTATCTCTTAGTAAGTTAAATCAGAAAATATTTGTTTGCTTTCCTGCTCTCCTCCCAGGAGGTTGCTGTTCCTCAGCCCACAAAGATCCAGGTCAGCAGCATGGCCAGAAGTGGCAAAACTGAGTGAGCAGAAACTTGCACAAAAAGTGTCAGAGACAGGCTGTGTTCACTGTGCTTGCCAGAGCGGTGCTAAGTGATTTATCACTATCTAACAGGCAAAAAGCTCCAGCTCCTCCTCCTTTTACATTTCACTATTTGATAAATAGGGAAGTCAAAGCAATGTAGCTCCATATATACTGGAATGAATAATTACACTTTACTGATTAGTTTTGCTCCTAATATTGAAGGCAGAACTTAGGATTTGGAGTTGATTTAGTACTTCACAACAGTATTTCATCCTGGCAAACAGAAGCATTAGCTGTACTGGGGGTTTTGTTGGCAGTGATTACTGCATTTTGTTATATACACACACACTGTTGTCAGGGTAACGTTAGCTGAGAGTAATTGCAAGGGTTTGTTTATTCATGACTGTGAGGATGTAATCGGAATTTGGGATAGACATTCTACATGCAACACATTTGGATGCATCACTGCCTTTTCTCTCAAGCTGATTTTGCATTATTGTACTTCCTCTGGGTTGGAAGAACGGAGTTCTCCATAAGGCCAGACAAGAAAAAACACCCACAAACCCCCCCAAATAACTAACTTTAAGGAGCCGAATAATGTCTGCTCTCAAGAATATAACACGGTTCAGTAACAGCCAATGTCTTGATTCATAATGGTAAGTGAAATGGGTACAGATGAAAGATGTAATTCTCCAAATTATATTCTGATAATACTCTCATTGCTAAGGGCTTGGAATGGACCTTAGGGAGCATCAAGCCCCAACCCCCTGCCCTGTGCAGGGACACCTCCCACCAGAGCAGGTTGCTCAAGGCTCATCCAACCTGGCTGTGAACACTGCCAGGGTTGGG